TTGGCCGCTCTGTAAACGCTTCAATAAAAATAACATATGAAAAGCATTAACACTTACAGACGATATAAACCGACTTAAGTAAATTATATATTAAGTCATATATAAGTAATATAAGTAAGAATGAAATGTCTGATGTAAAACCATGCGTAGACGAAAGAGCAGTCTTCATTTTCGATAAAGAGAACATACTTTTAAATAGGTGGATAGTTCTCTCAACAGAATATGATCACAACGGTGCTTGCTTAAGAGAACTCTCACTACTCAACTGGAAAGTTCAGACGATGGACCGTGTATTAACTCTTAATGAGAGTAATCTGTGTGATATAATACCATGCCTACACCAAGAAGTGTTAAATCATTTTATTTATTTTTATGAATTTATCTATATAAAATAGGTAGTAGCTTATATCTTGTGGATTGGAAAGAATGACTGTATATTGATCAAATTGTGAGACAGACTGATAAAATATAATGTATAGATCATTGTTAAGAATCTCACTTGCTTTTTCTCACTTCTTTCGAGTTTGCTGTTTATGTAACATGTAAAATTCACCACACGAGAACGTTATGGTGTGATGAGAGAAACTGATGAAAATGGAACGATTTTTGAATAAATGGAACGAAAATAAAACAATTTTAAAAGGTTGCTTAGTGCTTGCAAATAGCACTTGTACCAAAAATTTAAATTTATTCACTTTAACTTACTTTTTTCCATTCAAAATTCAAAATTTCTCGCAAGCAATTTGACAGTTTACAAAAACTCGAACGAAAAAAAGTGAGAAAACAATTCACCACAGTTACATAAACATTTCTAGTGAGTAATTGTCAAAAGTGAGAAAATCGTTCGAGAAAACGAAGTGAGAAAGTTACATAAACCAGCTACAGATATCATAAATAAAATTGAGCAGTACTTAGATATATAAATAGGCTACTACATATTGACATAAGTTATAGCCTTCTATGTTTCGATACACTCACAATGTACAATATATAATACTCCTATAATAATTATCCGAGACATCCTCACATCTACAAATGATATGCCGCATATGATATTTTCCTGTTTCTGAAACTAAACTAAACTTCAAGGAGGTTGTTTCGATTTGGTTGAAGACCTTAATCAGCTTAAGAAAAATGTATGTAGGATTGGATCAAGCACTAGTATAATTGCACTGTACTTAAGGGCCATTTTAAGGTGATAAGCTAAATTTTGATTTTTTTATGGGTTTTTGAGAGTTTTAAAAATTCATTCTGAATACTTTTTAAACAGAGTATCGAGTTATTCTTATGTACTTAATTCCACCAGTACTTAAATACCTATTATAGGGTACTTAACCGGCCTAATAGTATGCTATGAAATGTAAATATGTAAAATTATCGTTTACTGTTTCATATATGGAAACACAGGCTGCATTCTGACTAGATAAGAGTATGGAGGTAAGGGAGTAAGCCGTTCGGTAGATTTTGCATAAGTAATAAAGTACACATCATGCATAATTAAAATAATGAAACGGTCAATTTATAGTTTTTGTTTTTGTTGTCATCGTCGTTGTCGTTGTTGTTCTTTTTTATTGTTAATTTCAGAGCACATAGCATGGTATAGTCCATAGTATAGCCCAAAGTAAATTGGTGTTTTAATGCAACAACTATGTATGGTCGAGAGTAACAGTCTCTGGTGAATTACTAAAACCATAAATATTTGCACAAATTGAATTAGACTGGTTAGAAAATGTTTAAGTGTTTCTCTAAATTTATATCGCTTGATGTCAAAATTTTCATAGAAATCAGTTATTAAAACTAATTGAAAACATAAGCTTCGTGGGACCAATAATTGAGTGGATCTTGAAAAAATTATAAACTCAAATTTACGTACTTACGTACGTATATAAGTATATATTAAAATTGTTAAGAGTTTACCCATCCAACGTGGCTATCATCTTTTTGCTTATGTGGTTCTGACAACCCCACAGTTTAATGATTCGTACTATAAAGACATTTATCCATATATGAGGAGTATGGATTTTGCGTGTATGAAGGAAAAAATTTTGATTTGTTTTAACATTTTTCAAAATTAAGTAATACGGATACGAAAAAAGTGGATTTACAGTTTTGACTTTTTCCGGTCTCAGCAGCGCAAATTAAGTTTTATTGCTATTAAATATGTAATTTATTTGATAAATGACTTTATTTTCAAGTAAATCCATAAAACTGCACAAAATCTAAATTGAGGCTCAAATGTTGTAATAAAATGTCCCATGACATATTTATGCTTCATTTCAGAAAAATTTTATGTTTTTTGTCCTTTCTCATCAATGGGTTGCCAACTTGTAAATTAAAATTCCTTTCAAAAGCGTGTAGGGTGGGCTTCTCTTTAACGTTGGAGATGGAAGAAGATGGATGTGAGTCATTAATGACTCCAAATAGTGAATAAAAAGCTTAGGAAATAATGGGAAGTACGGGCTAATAGAAGTAACGTAATGAAATTACAAATATTAATTTTTGAAGATATATAAAAGTACAAATAACTACTAGAATATATATATGATTATATATATATATATGATATATATATGATATATATATATGATATATATATGATATATATGATATATATATATATATATGATATATATATATGATATATATAACTTGAGACTAAAGAGAATTTTGTGAGAGAGTATTATGTTACTTTAACCACTGTATTATTATGATAATTAATACTTAATTACAAATATTCTAAGCTTTAATTATGAAAACCACAAACCAGTTCAAAACCAAGTACTTGATTGGAAATTATTAAGTGGTTTAGTTTACTTAGATATTTTTTAAGAAACCTTTCCAACATCTTTACATAGCGATACAAGAATTTAAAAAATGAGTCTAAATTTTAAAAAAATTTAGTCGTTTTTCTTTAGTAACTTATTGCTCATACTCTCTAGATTTAATGAGGACTGGATTGTTGTGTATTCACCTCTTTTATTTGCTCTTGGTAACTGAAATAGAATTCAAGCTTTTTTCCTTTATAAAACACAGGCGAGATGATTCAGATGTTTTCCTCTTTTGAAAAAAAAAATAAAATTACTTTTATAGGAAGGTATTTTATAGAAATTATTTAATATGACATATTCGTTTCTAAATGAATGACGACTTAAATTAAATCTCACTGTTAATACAAAAAATCATGTATAAACTCTTATTAGTATAATCTCATTTTTATTTCAGGAATACACTTTCTATAGAATCTTTGTTAGATAAAAAACTTGTTCCTAAAAACCAACTGAAGTACTTCAAATCTAATAGACAGTTTTAGACCTCTCGAGTTTTATACAGTAACACTAAGAGCAAATGTAGTTATATGTATTCTTAAGAACGATTTTGAAACCTAACATTACTTAGATCTTTTATAATATTAACCAATATCTCAACAAGAATCCTTAAATTCTTAATTATAACTTAACGTAACCTCTAGACCACCGGCAATATTAACAAGTGTCGTAATATGGATCCTTAAAATCGTCATTATAACCTAACGAAACCGATATCGTGGATAATATAACAAGTATTTCAACATAAAAGATTAAAGGTTTTAAAAAAACGAGTATATACCTATACATATACCTATATAGCGGCATATTGGAAAAATGTTGTAAATACATATTGGAGAAAAATAAGTAGTTCTGAATATTATATCTTATATTTATCATATCTTATATTTATTCTGGCTTATTAAAAATATTTTCCATTCCTTAGAAAAAATCCAGAGATATTGTGGCACAAATATCGAATATTAAATTGTGAAATTCAAAGCACAATGTATATACATAACTTACAGAGCTAACAGAGCTTGTGTACTTCGAAGCTCTGCAATGATTTCTTCAACTATTACAATATCTAAGGAGTATCTTATATTTTCTAAATACAACATATACACTGTAAAGGTGAATTCTGTGAGGTGAAATCAACTTTAAAATAGATCTATATAGTGTATGTACTAGGAAGTTCTCTAAAAACCGCTTTAACTATTATATTGTCCAAGGTGTATCTTACATTTTCTAAGCACAATTCATATGCTGTAGAGATAAACTCGTTGAGCTAAAATCAATTTTAAAATAGATCTGTTTAGTGTATGTACTAGACAGCTCTCTAAAAACCTCTTTGGCTATTATATTCTCCAAGGTGTGTCTTACATTTGTTGAGCACAATTTATTTACTGTAGTGGTAAATCCTCTGAGGTGAAATCAACTTTAAATTTATAGATCCTCTAACCTTAGTTCACTGTTTATAAATTATATTAGTAACTTGGCAACCCTATCCATGTTTCTTATTCACAAATTGTATATTGCCGCGGTTTTTTGTTCATAATTATTGCGCGAATTTTGTTATAAATCAACGAGTTATTACCACTTTTTTTATAAAATCTAAAACCATTTCATTTTGAATATGAAATTTTATCGCTTTTGCATATTTTGAAAGGATATTTGCATACAGTCACATTATAATACATACTCGCACACATCAATAATAATATCCGCCTAAAAATATATTAACATAATAAATTGTACAACAATAAATTTTCAATTTATTTTGGCATTATGTTGAAAGCAATAGAAAAACATCTATTAGGCCAGCATCAATGGCGGCAATCAATTTCCTCTGAATATAACTTCAAGCTTCAGGAAGAGAGAGACACAGTTCAATAGTTTGTTCCAATGTTTGAGTTTCCATTGCAATTATTTATGCTGAACATTTCAATGTTTTGAATACAGTCAAATGAGCTCGCCTACAAATAATCAAATGCTGTTTTCGGATCATTATTGTTATTCCAACTCATCAGAATTTAATTAAAACCAAAATAGAAAGCAGAACAAAATAATTTTGTTTATAGAATTAATCATTTATATTCATATTGTTCATATTAGAATTATATTTTTAATCAAATTTCCAAATTTACAAAATTTAATTCAAATAACATTTTTTCGTACTTCTTTTGTTTCAGATCTTCCATTAAATCCATTAAGACCAATTTACTCGAATTACAATGTCATGCCCACAGCCTTTTATTGCCCAGCCGAAGGATTATTCGCTGACGATTATGACTGTCAAATCTACTATCGCTGTGAAGAGAAAGCAAGAGGTTATATTAAACCATACATGTTTGCTTGCAAGGATGGTACAGTATTCTCCCCCACACTGAAACTCTGCATGCCACCTCTGCTAGCTGGACGTGCTGAATGTCAGCATTATGTGAACGAAATCGACACAGCCGCCGATGACAGCTCAATATTATACAGTGCAGACAATCTCAGTAATAATAATAAACTACAGAACTATGGCTTGACAGGTTTAAGCGGAGTTTCCGTTATATCCTTTTCAACATCCTCTGCACGTGCCGCAAGCGATGTCGAACAGGGTCCACCTTGCGAGGATGACGGCTTTATGCCGGATCCTGATGATTGTACCATATTTTACCGCTGCATATCAAATGGTCGAAGTTTCAATAAAATCGGCTTTCGTTGTTCTGATGGTACTGCTTGGGATGAATCTCTACAGTCATGTAATCATATACGCCATGTACGCGCAAATGGTGGTTGTCAAGGTAAAGCGAACGCATTAAATGATGAAAATACGGAACAAACATCTACGCAATCATCACACACAAGTTATCAGAATACCACCTCAGCAAGTAGTCAACATCAAAGCTCTACTAGTTCTTCACATAGCTCGTCATCTAGTTCTTCGTCTTCATCATCATCATCATCATCAAGTTCATCTTCTAATAGTAGTAATCAACAACAATCTAGTACTACACAAGCTAGCAGCACTGAAAGTTCTTCATCAAATACGCAAAGCTCTACTTCTTCAAGTAATCAACAAACATCGACAAGTTCATCATCCTCTAACCAAGAAAACACACAATCATCTGCAGAAAATACAAATAACCAAAACTCAAATGAAACCCACAACTCAAACAATGAGAGTTCAAGTTCGAATAATAATCAGAATTCTAATAGTCAAAGTTCAAATAATCAAAATGTAAATAATGAGAGTTCTAGCAGTGAGAACTCAAATAACCAAAGTTCTAGCAATGAAAATTCAAATTCCAACCAAGAGAACTCCAACTCCAATCAAAATTCCAATGGCAACTCTAATAGTAATAATGAGAACAACAGTTCAAACAATAATCAAGCTAGCGCTGGTACGAGCAATCCCAATCCCACCACTTGTGAAAATGAGGACACTTATATAGCTGATGGCCAAGATTGTGCTAAATTTTATCGCTGTCGTTATGATGGAAACGGTGTACTGGAAAAAGTTCCCTTTACCTGTGGACCTGGTACTATATGGAATCAACAAGAGAAAGTATGTGACGTACCAACAAGTGCACAAAAAGAGCAATGTAAGCTTCAATCTACGACTGGTGCTGCGAACTCAGGTAATGGATGGATGACTTTTTAAAACCAACAAATTTTTTAACATTATTTAGAACATTAACACTTTTCGGTTAGTAACCAACCCCTCTTGAAGATACAAATTGTCTGATGTGAAGTGTTCGTTTAATATATATTACATATTTATATTTATATATTTATTATATATTTAATATTTTCAAATCCCAATATTTAAATTAAATTTAAAAAAATATTTAATAAATTAAAAATATTAAAAAATATTAAATAAGTTAAGGTTGTTATTTCAGAGTAGTCTGAAATAACAATCTTCGCATATTTAAGAATTCTACTAAACAGTATCTTACTACTTACTTTCTTTTAAATTATATTCTCATTATGCTTACATTCACATAGGTTCCTCTTCAACATCTTCTTCAAATTCTAATCAATCATCCAACAATTCGAATCAAACCTCTTCAGGTAATCAGGGTTCGAATTCTTCGAATACACAAACTAGCTCAAGTCAACAAACGTCAAGTAGTACTGAATCCTCAAACTCATCAACGGAATCAAACAATTCATCATCTACATCAGAAACGAGTGCATCTGAAACATCGAATTCTAATAACCAGCAGAGTACAAGTACCACACAAGAATCGAATCAAACACAAGAATCAACTAGTCAAACCTCTAACAATAATCAAAGCACAGGTAATGCAAATCAACAAACTACAACTCCCAAACCTTCAAATCCAGTAGGTGAATGTTCGGATAGTGAGACATATTTACCCGACAAAGTCAATTGTGCACGTTTCTATCGTTGCGTTGCTAATGGTAATGGAGGTTACGATAAAGTTGGTTTTGATTGTGCACCTGGTACAGTTTGGGATGCCGACGTCAAAGGCTGTAATTATCCAACTGAAGTTCAGAAAGAACAATGTAAAGTCATGGCAAGTGGTTCCAGTTCTTCTAGCGGTAATAATCAAAGTAGCAGTGGAAGTAACAATTCACAAGGTAATGCAAATTTACAATCTAAATTTAGTGCTTCTATTAATAAACAATTTTCTGCTTTTACAGCATCAACTGGTAGTAATAATCAAAATTCGAACAATAATCAATCATCTTCGGCTTCATCTAATGAATCAAATGAAAGTAATCAAAGTTCTAATAATAATCAATCATCTTCTGGCTCTAGTTCGGGAAGTAATCAATCTACATCCTCTACTGAGTCAAGTAATAACAACCAGAGTTCTAGTAGTACAAGTTCAACTTCTAACAATAATCAATCGTCTACCGAATCAAGTGGTAGTAACCAAAATTCTAGCACATCAAATCAATCATCTTCGTCTACTGAATCGAATAATAATAATCAAGGGTCTTCTAGTACCACTTCTAGTTCTGGCAATAACCAATCATCTTCTTCAACAGAAACAAGTGGCAGTAATCAAGGTTCTAATGGTACAACTTCCAGTTCTAACAATAATCAATCATCGTCTTCAACGGAAACGAATGAAAGTAGTACTACGTCCACTTCTGGCAATAATCAATCATCGTCTTCTACCGAATCAAGTGGCAATAATCAAGGTTCGACTAGTACTGGTAACAATAATCAATCATCTTCTTCAACAGAATCAAACTCTAACAATCAAAGTTCATCAAGTACCACATCTAGTTCAGGTCAAAATGAATCATCTTCTTCTACAGAATCCAGTTCAAGCAATACTCAAAGTAGTTCAAATCAACAATCTTCCAGTAATAATCAACAATCTAGTACTCAAAGTTCTAATAACAATCAACAAAGTACCACAGGAAAACCTACAAAACCTGCTGAATATTGTGAAAATGAAAACACTTTCTTGGCTGACAAAAATAATTGTTCCAAATTTTATCGCTGCGTTAACGATGGTAAAGGAGGATTTAATAAAATATCCTATACATGTCCGCCTGGTACAGTTTGGGATCCAGAAGCAAATACTTGTAATCATGCCACAGCTGTTCAAAATCTATCTTGTAAAATATCAACTACATCTTCCAGTTCAAATCAAAGTAGTTCTAGTCAACAATCCTCCAGTGCAGAACAATCATCTAATTCAACAACAGAGACAAGCAGTAGCAGTCAAAGTTCAACCACTTCGGGAAGCAATGCAGGTCAACAATCAAGTGGTAGCAATCAATCAAGCAGTGGCAGTCAAAGTTCTTCTAGTACACAGAGCACTTCCGCAGGTAGTTCTCAATCTTCAACTTCTACCACAGAATCTACTAGTAGTACTGAAAACTCCAGCTCAACTACTGGCTCAAGTAGCACCTCCAATAATCAAAACTCTAACTCTTCTAATACAAGTAACAACTCCCAAAGTGGTAACAGCCAACAGACAACTGGCAGTAATCAGTCAACAACTTCTACAGAATCTGGTTCAAATAATAATACTAACCAAACTGGTTCATCACAGACGGGATCCTCATCTACGAGTTCAACTGGTAGTAGCTCATCATCATCGAGCAGTGGATCTCAAGGTGCTAATAACCAAGGTGGTAACAACCAACAGGGGTCCAGCCAATCTAAGCCTTCTGGAAACTGTGATGGCAAGACACAATTTGTGGGAGATGATAATGATTGTGCGAAATTCTATCGATGTGTGGACAATGGTAAAGGTGGCTATGATAAAGTGCCATTTACATGTGGACCAGGCACTGTATGGGATAGTGATATTGAAGGATGTAATCATGCATGGGCGGTTAAGAATAAAAAATGTGGTACTGGAAGTGCTGGAGCACCAACACAACAAAATCCGACGACACAAAATCCACCGCCTTCAGGTTCTTTAACAACAGCGAAACCTATTGAAGAAAATCCTACAGAGCCAACAAAACCCACCTCGGCGCCAGCTACAACCACAAAACCTAATACTACTCAAAAACCCACAGGAGCTAGTACAGTAACACAGAATCCAACTAATACAGATGGCATTTGTCGTGAAGAAGGCTTTATAGGTGATCCAAACGATTGCAGTAAATTCTATCGTTGCGTAGATAATGGGAAAGGCGGTTTCACACAATATGTGTTCAAATGTGGTGCTGGTACAGTATGGGACAATAACCTACAAACGTGTAACCACGATTTAAAGATGTGCAATACCAATGTTGGTAATGGTACTACGACTACATTGGAACAAAGCACAACATCGTATCCTACTGACAAACCAACTTCAAGTCCTACAACACAAACCAGCAAGCCTGAAGGTATGCAGCCTGCAACAACAACACAGGCTCAAAAACCTGGATACGAAACAACAACGGAAGGTACACAAACTACAAATTTAAGTACGACTGAATCTGTAACACAAACTCAAAAACCTGGATACGAAACAACAACGGAAGGCACAAAGCCTACCTCTGCTGGTACTACTGAATCTGGTAAAAACCCAGAAATTACCACAGCACAAACAACCACAGGAACTCCCCAAACAACTTCACAACCGATAGTACCTGCTAAACCAATTTCACAAAAAGATCCTTGTACAAAGGAAGGCTTTTTCGGAGATAGCGAAGACTGTCAAAAGTTTTACAGATGTGTTGATAACGGTAATGGAAGTTTCGAGAAATATAGTTTCAAATGTGGAAACAACACTGTTTGGGATGCTGATATTGAAAGCTGCAATCATCCCAGTGCAGTGCAAGATCCACGCTGCCGTGTAGAAGGTACTACTACTAGTAATATAGAAGGTACAGCTGCTAGTAACATGGAAGGTACAACAACAACGAATAAATATCCTACAACTACCGACAAATATGATACTACAACCATTGAATCAAAGCCCACATCTACTACTTCGTACCCCACAACAATAATGGAAACAACAACTAGTAAATACGAAACTACGACTGACGGTAGTAGTAAACCTACAACAACAACAACTGAAAGTAGTTCTGTAGAAAATACGACAACAATGCAAAGCAGTACAACACCTGTGACAGTACCGAACTTACCACCAGGTACTACTTGTAATGATGAAGGTTTTATGGCCGATCCAAATAATTGTAGAAAGTTTTACCGCTGCGTTAGAAATGGCGATGGTACTTACTCCAGACATGAGTTCATGTGTGCCAAAGGTACAGGATGGAGTGAGGAGAAACAAACTTGTGATTATGCCGCAAATGTGGACAGATGTTATGGCCAAACAGAGGAACCAGAGATGACAACTATATCCAGTACCAGTGAGACAACAACTGAAAATATATCGACCACTACATTACCCAGCAGTACTCAATCTACTAAAGAACCTACAACAACAACTGAATCTAAAGAAACAACAACAACAACAGCAGCAACAACAACTGAATCTAAACCACCTACAACAACAACGGACGCAACAACAACAGAATCCAAACCACTCACAACAACAACAAACTATGTCGAGACAACTACGACAACACCAATGGAATCCACTACACCTGGCGATGCTAGCTCAACTTCAACGCAAGCTACTACTACTACAGAAATAATAAGCACAACTATGCAGTCTACTTCCACAACTCCGATACCAAATTTAACTCCTGGCACAGAATGTAAAGGAGAAGGCTTCATGGCAGATCCAAATAATTGCCGTAAATTTTATAGATGTGTACGCAATGGTGATAAATTAGATAAACATGAATTTATGTGCGGCAAAGGTACCGGTTGGAGTGAAGAAAAACAAACTTGCGATTACGCAGAAAATGTGGAGCGCTGTGCTGGTCAAACAGAAGCTCCAGAAACCAGCACAGTTATGGAAACAACCACAGTATATACAACTACAACAAGCAAACCAGAAACCACACAAATGCCTACATCAGCACAAGAAACTAAACCTACAGAATCTACAACAGATATGCCAACAACACCTATAGAACAAACGAAACCAACAGATTCAACACAAAAACCGACAGAGCAACCAACTACTACAGAACAACAAACTAAACCCACTGATACGACTCCACAACCAACTGAACAAACAACTACCACAGAAGAACAAACTAAACCTACCGAACCGATAAGCACAACTACTGAACAACAAACCAAACCAACTGAAACGCCAACAAAACCAACAGAAACCACTGGAAAACCAACGGAAACACCTACTGCAACCGAGGAACAAACCAAACCCACTGAAACACCAACAAAACCAACAGATACCACTGGAAAACCAACGGAACCACCTACTACAACCGAAGAACAAACCAAACCCACTGAAACCACAACGAAGCCTACAGTAATCACGACAACGGATGTACCAGCAACTACCGTTGAAGTTACAACCACAAGTAAACCTGGTTACGAGCCTACTACCATGCCAACTGTACAGACTACAGATTACCCAACAACAACAGAAGGAACAGTAAGCACAACAATGGAACCAACGAATTTCACATGTACCAGTGAAGGTTTCTTCCCAGATCCAGAAGATTGTAATCGTTATTATCGTTGCGTTGACGCAAATCAAAATGGCAATTATCAAATTTACAGTTTCCGTTGCCCCGATGGCACAGTTTGGGATACTTCCGTCGATACATGCAACTACGCAGAACAAGTTTCTGGAAATTGTTCCTCAGGTCAAACAAAACCAACCTCCAAACCAGTTGACACAACCACATTAGAAAATACAACAGAGCAACCTGGTACAATGACAACCAATAAACCAATGGACACAACTACAATGGAAACAAACACCGGCACAACTGAACCGACAACCGTGACGACGACAAGTAAACCAATTGATACCACAACTACAGCGATGGGAACTACAACAATGGAACCAAATACAGAAACGACAACTCAACAAAGTACAACTGAGAAGCCCACAGAAATGCCAACAAAACCAATTGATACCACAACTGCAGCGATTGAACCCACAACGACAGAACCGAATAAAGACACAACGACACAGCAAGCTACAACTGATAAGCCCACAGAGATAGCAACATCCGAAACAACGACGACGGGAGAAGAAAATACAACAAATTCTACACCTGAAAGCAATGAAACTACGGAAATGCCAACCACACAACCACCGCAACCAATAACTAATACAAGTGCACCATGTCCTACAGCGAGCGAGGGACAAAATCTCTTCGTTTGCCCAACAGGCTTTAAACGTCATCCCAAGAACTGTGGTATGTTCTATCAGTGCACTGAGAAAGCTGACAGTAACGATTTAAGCATTGCTGTCTTCGAATGTCCTAATGGTACCGTGTTCTACGAGGAACGCTGTCAATGCGACAGACCCGACAGTAATGAACAGTGCCTGAATAAAGAAATGACACGCACATTATTCTATGACGATGAAGTACGGCGCTTGCATATGGTAAGTTAATCATAAATGAGTATTAAGCAAAATCTATCTTTTAATCATCTTCTACCAACATAGGTACAAGTCCGGTCTACTGAACCGCTATGTCCGGATGAAGGTCACTTTTCCTTAAACCACGATCACTGTGGACAATTATTTGTTAAATGTGCGTATTCAACACTAACAGGACGTATAGAAGGTCAAATACAACGTTGTCCTAAAGGATTTGCCTATTGGTCTGTGAGTCGTCGTTGTGAGCGCGCACAAAAGCTTTTAGACTGCCATCCCACCCAATACGATGTTGGAGACAGCATACCAGTGGAATGGGGAAATATTGGCAAAAGACGTAGAAACTTAAAAATTTAAATAATTTTATTTGGAATGTCAGAATTTTTAAATCTTATCAAAATAAGTTTTAGTTTTAAGAGTAGAAGTTTTAAGGATAACTTAAATATTGTATACGGCGCATAAAAGCATTAACGGATCAGAAATAATACTTCTAGTCTATATAGAGTTAACGTATACTTATGCGCAGTAAACGATTACAAGTATTTATTTATATATAATTTTTCGGTACTCGGTTATGTAGTACGAGGGATGAGGTGAAGGTATTTATTTATAATGTATTTATTTAAACTATTTTTAAAATTGCCAATATAACAAAGTAAGTCTGACTTAAATAATATAGTAATATAAAATATTGAAAATTAGTTATTTAAGAAATATTGAAAAAGTATTGAATTAATTCCATTTCACTTTAGAGATACTGAAGCAATAATTTTTATAAAAAATAAACATTTTTATTCACCGCTTTATAGCAAATATGATTATTTAGTTCGGAACTTATTTAGATAAAACTAAGTTTATATACAAAATTCTTATATTTATGTATATTTAAGCAAAATAAATCTTAAATTATTTTATAAATAAATTAATTTTTTTTAAAAGTAATATTGTCAATATTTAATTGCGTACTTAAGTATTATTGCTTTATTAATATAAATGTAATAAGGCTTTTGCTTATAACTGGTTGTACGAAAACGCAAGAACAATAGCAAATAAATAGCTCTCCGTACTCTTACAATGTAGTGCCAATCTATTAGATTCTAACTATATAGTCTATTACATTTCAGTAATGACCGTCATTTCGCTAGTAGTAACTCTACCTGTGGAAGTAGTAGAGCTTTGTAAAAAATTAACCTCTCAACATAACGCTGTATATGATGATACAGAGAGAGAGAGAATATTATATATCTCAGAAAGTCAGAACTAATTTGCTTATAATCAACTTCTTTCAATGCAGATTATTGTCACGATTTTAGTTACTTCTGTTTAACAATTATTACAACGTATAATCTTAATCTGCGTTTTTGTCTTTCTGTTTAAGATGGATGTGGATGGATTCACTGTTAAAAATAAAAAGATTAATATTAAATGTTTTTTAACATTAAAAATTGTTATACTTACAAAAAGGATAACGTAATCATAACTAATGCGAAACCACAACTTATTACTTTCGTGTATTTGGTACTGGTGCCGATGGATTAACACCTTTATAAAACTCTTTAAGCAAATCCATAGCTTCTGCAGCGCGTATGCCACCACGTATAGGTAAATTAGTGCCTACAACTTCTGCAACATTCACAACCGTTTTACCGCCAAAACGATCGTTAGCACAACCATATAAAATTTCTTTAACACCCAACGTATGCAATGCAGCTGAACACATGATGCAGGGTTCTACGGTGACAACCACAGATATCTGCTTGAAGACTTCACTATTATCCAATCCATTGCTTTTACAATATTCTAAAACTTGATCAATACATACGAACTCCGCATGGCGTGTAGCATTTTTTGTTGCATTAACATAATTTCTACTACGTGCTATAATTTCGTTATCCCAAACAAAAACACATCCAACCGGCACTTCGCCAACAGCTAATGCATGACGTGCCTCCATGAATGCTTCATCCATAAATGTTTCCATTATTATTATGCTCTTATGTATTTAATTGCACAACAAGAAATATATTTATTTCCATATATTATCAGTTACTTTTATAAAATCTTATTGGATTTGAAATGAATTTGTCGTCCCTACAGCTGGTTTTGTTTACATTTAAAAAGACAAGGCGTACAGTATATACAATTAACCGCTGCGCAAAAAGACTATCGCCGCTGGTTATTTAACAGGGTTGTTACATTTTATTATTTTATGTAAATAAATTATTTTCTTATAATTAAAGTTCAATACATTTATGATTCAAAAAGTTGATACATGTTTATATGTAGAAATAATATATTATTGTATACATTTTTGAAATAAATAGTAAGTTTATTGATAAATTTTTATAAACCATAAACACTGAACAACAGTTGACTACACATAATAGATCTGTTCCACGAGCTACTCGTAATAACTTAGAGTAACACTGTGTATACACAAGTGCGTTCCACCAGCAAATTTTCTAGTAAATAAGAGTATCTGAGAGAGTATAACATCCCTGTCGAAATTTGAAAATGTTAAGCATGATATAGACGATGAAATTTGTTTGCAAACAAGGTTTGCTGGCTATCAAATTGCATCGTCTATACTCAAGTTTGCAAACCAAAATTTGGTTTGCAAACTAGTTTGCAGTGAAATTAAAATTTTTCAATTATTTGTTAAGTTTGCAAACATGTTTACTTGTGTATATCGAAGTTTGCAAACTTCTCATAATTTAAGAATTTTGGTGAGCGTCGGACAAGCAAAGATTACAGAAAAAAATTATTAATTCTTGGTAAAAAGAAAAATAAATGAAAAATAATTAAAAAATTGCTAGACATTAGACAATTATTGAAGAAGTTTATATATTTTAAAAATTATTTTGTGCTAAAAACATTTTTATAGTAAGCTTTAATATTTAAACAATTATTATATGAATAAAAATTTTAAAATGTAACATATTAAAAAATTGAAACAAAAATAATTTTAGTTTAAAAAATGAAATAAATAACAGGTTGCTATGATCATCACCTTAATTTCTTCAGTTTCAATTATTGTTTTGCACTCTGTACTTACTCCGCTGTTGATATGAACGCTGTAGAAAATAAATAAAAATGAAGTTTGCCAACCTTGTTTCAAAGTGTATAGCAAATCGCATATTCGGTTTGCAAACAAATTTCATCGTCTATATCATGCTTTACACAGACTTTACTCCTACATATAATTTGAAGAAAAATTTGTGTTGATGTGTGGATCAGCTGTTTTGGTTGGAATTTAAATTTACTTAAATTTCGGTTGGTTGACACTGTTGTTCTTACCAGACCTTACACAAAACTATTCCATGAAAATCTGTGTAAAGAGCGAAACTTGACACTTTATTTGTGTCAATTTGTATTTTACTTGCATTTTATTCAAATTTTACTGAGTAGCTGGTGGAAGAGCCCTAATATAACTTCTTTGAGGACAAAGTTCGAAGTTATAAAATATGTCATTTAAATATCTACTGTAAATACACAAGAATCAATTTATGGACAAACATTGCCCTTTAGCAGATTCACACCGTCTCATTTAGGCACTTGTTCATTTCTAACAATGAGTAAAAGCTTAAATGATAATAAGCTTATTTATGCAGCTGATAGAACTTTTAAAAACTTCATTTAATAATATGACAAAAAAATAAATTAAATATATAATACATATATTAATTCATTAATATTTTATAAATCAATTACATATTTAATAAATAATTGTTCATTTGTATCAATGAGTAAACGCTTAAATTATAATAAACTTATTTATGCAGCTGATAAAAATTTTAAAAACTTCACTTAATAATATGACACACTAATAAATTAAATATATAATTCATATATTAAATCGTTAATATTTTATAAATCAATTACAATTTAATTAATAAAAACAAAGCTTTTATTAAATACTTACATCCTCAGTGCCTTCGTTTACAGCTCAGCTGTTGTTTGTTTATATTTTATAAATGGAACTAATGACAAACGTTTCAAATTTTGATCATTTTCTTTGTATATATTATAATTTTTGTGTGATATATTATTAAGTGAAGTTTATAAAAGTTCTATCAGCTGTATAAATATCTAAATGAGACATTGTGAATATAGTATGAATGTTCTATAATAATCCATTTATTTTTAATTAAATATAAATAACTTAACGATTGCTTTTGGAGCAAGATACGTATATTACAAAGATGTTATTTGTTATACAATAATTTTAAAAATATATATCTTATTAAATTTATATAATTTATTATTATTCACAAATTTGATATCAATTAATTTAACTATGTCAATTTTTTACAATTTTAACATTCAAATAGACTGCATATAGAGGTTATAATTTAAATAGTAAAATCTTTTGCAAACATAAGGTTTCAAATTAATCAATAAAGTTTATTTATTTAATAAACTGATTCAGTTAATGGATACTTACATTATTTATTTTGTCAACTTTAGTGTTATGTTTTAAAAATTATTAACATTTATTGTTTAATAAAATAAGATATATAAATAATTTAATTTAGTATTTATATATAATACAGTTTGTACTTGAATTTTATAAATATTTCTTCTTTTTAAAATTTTTTTTGTTTGTTTAAATTTTGTAAATAAAGTAAGAGATGTCTTTACGTTTTCTAATTTCTGCATGTTCATAATTTAAGGTGGATATTTAGAGAGAGAAAAAAGGGAAGAGCAAGAAAGGGGGAAGACAGAGAGAGAAAGGCAGAGAGAGATAGAAAGGGAGAGAGAGATAGAAAAGGAGAGAGAGAAAGAAATTAGAGAGAGAAAAAGTGAGAGAGAGAAAGAGGGAAAGAGAGAGAGGGAGAGATTTCATTTGTTAAAATTGACAGAGAATATAGTTTTATTTTAAAAAATATCTAATTTACTGTAGATCATTTTTTCACTTTTGTAGATTCTACATTAGGTTTTTGACTAATTACTTTATTTTTTTTTCGTCTCCTTTGTCGTTTATTTTTCTTAAATGGTGCTGATGCTGATTCTGAAGCACGTTCAGGATTACAAACTTTTGATGTAGTGTTTTCTAAAAAAGGGAAGTGATTTATGTATTGTTCCTTAGCTTCTTTACCATTTAAATCATCTCTTGTATTTTCTAAAATAGCTTTTGCAAATGGATCGTCCTCAAAGCTCCTTTTTTTAAATTCAAAAGAATTCAATAAATTTGTATCACTTACACTTTCTGGACAAATTTCTTTTTTGGCTGTATTTGTAAACTTAAAAAAATTTTCATCCATCAATATAGGTATTCCATATTGGCTAGTTGGTAATATAATACATGAAGGTATTGGATGTGTTGAGATAGTACGATTTGCATCTAAATAAGAAGCTCTACCAAAGCCCATACCTAAAGTGCGCATCATTTGTATCATTTCATTTTCAATTTCTCGGCAATCATTGTGTTCTTTGCCTGCAACCTTTTCTTCATTAAGTGTTAAATCTGGAAATTCTGGTAAAATATCTGGTAACGCGGTATTTAAACTAGAGCGATGTTTAGATTTCTTTGAATATTCATCGAACAACTTAAAAATAAAAGTACGATCTTTAGATTTTTTTATATCTTGCTTTTTTCTTTCTTCATTCTCTTTCTTGTCATCATTTTCTTTATTTTTTGTCTTTTTATCCATCTGTTCCCTTTCATCCTTCTTTTCCTTATCCTTTTCTTTTTCCTCTCGAAGCTTATCTTTCGCTAGAGCAAACTCTATGTGTTCTCGTGGACGCGGTGGGAAATATTTCTCTTTTTGTAGAAAAGTATTATTTATATTATCTATTACAACTTCATCATTAAATAATGATTCCAAATCCGGTTTCCAAGCCATTTTTTTTAGAATTGTAATATATTATATTAATTTCTTCGTAATAATTTTCACTTTCATATAGTAACCGTGTCTGCTTATATATTTACCGCGCAAACTATTAATCCAAATTAGCAATTCACAATATAAGAAATATTAAAACAGGGACCTTTGAAGATCTAAGTTCAACTGACTCATTAAACCAAAAGCTCAGGAATTTATGCGTTTTTTATTATATATATTAAAAATTATATATTCCGTCTTAAAATATCAGTTTGTAATTCGAAATTTTTTACGCATGATATTACCGATTCATGCCAAAGCACTCCTCACGCGAACCATTGAAATTGGACTTCAAGTAATAAATTAGGCTGAATCGTGATTGACGAACTATTTATAGAAAAGTAGTACGAAAAATAAAAAACCGCTTGAGTAAAACAAAACAAAAAAAAATAAGTAATATGTTAAAACTGTGAATAGTTGCTCTCCAGACGCGGGCTAATACAAATCACCGAATAGGTTGGCGGGCCTGTTATACACTACGACGTACGAAACTACGACCAGTTTGTTTGTTGGATAGACTCGAAGTAAATTGAAAGAGTCTACCAAAAGCTAACCAAACCAAGCCAACTATGCTGAGATTTGCATTCTTGAGATAAGTGTGGTGGTGTTTGTCGTATCTAAGTTGATTCCTATTAGAGGAACCATAAGTGCAACATTGTTCATCAAGTAAACAAAGAATGCTGTGTGCAGCCTGACTTTAGTGATCATGGCTGAATCAGCACAAACAGTAAGTTAGCTTAAGTGTACTTGAAAGTCATTAAACAGGAAGCGTTACTTTCTGTGTAAGTAAATTTCTAAACAAAAACTGTAATATTGCGCTTTGTCATGCATTTGCTTTAATACAAAGTAAGCAAAACTTAATTTAACAAAAGTGTGAAATAAATCCATAATATTAATATTAATATTGCCGTGCAAAGAATATAATGTAATGTAATGAAATAATATTGTAAAAAGAAGTATATACTAAAGTCTTTGTCAATAAAGTAAATTTACGTAGTGTATATATTTAAAACATTTTAATTCATTTATTTCGTATAAATCTAAAATAATGGAATGTTACTAAAATATAACAAAGAAAAATTTGCCTAACTGTGGTAGATAAGAAGCATACAACGGACCGCATGATACCCGTTGGCTGTGGGGCTATTTATCGCTAAAAATTTTTAAAATATTGTATGTAATAGTACATTTACACTGTCTTATTTAAGCAGATGATAGAACTTTTATAAATTTCACTTAATAGTAGGTCTGTTCTACGAGCTACTAATAGTAAAACTCGAGTAAACCACAAGTAAAATTCAAACTGAGAGCGTAATATAAATAAAGTGCCAAATTTCGTTCTTTATACAGATTTTCATGAAATAGCTTTGTGTAAGGTCTGGAAAGAATACCTATGTCGCGCAAATAAACAATACAAAAATTTAAATTCAAACTAAAACAGCTGATCCATACATCAACACAAATTTTACTTAAAATAAAATGTACGAGTAAAGTTTGTGAAGCATTATCAAATTACGACAGGGATGTTACGCTCTCTCCGATACTCTGATTTACTAGAAAATTTGCTGGTGGACAGCACTTGTGTATACACAGTGTACCTCAAAGTTACTACAAGTAGCTCGTGGAACTAACATAATATTATATATCACACAAATAATTAAATATATAATTGATATTTATATATTATTCATTTATATATTATATATCAATTACATACTCAATTAATATAAACAAAGATATTATTAAATACTTACTTAATCAGTGCCTTTGTTTACAGGTCAGCTGTTGTTTGTTTGCATTTTTCATATAAAAGACAAATATTTGTTATTTTAATAATTTCCCTTGTGGGAAATTTATTTTTAAGGGTTGTATTAGACATTTTTCGCCTTAAATGAGCCGATTTATTGTTAATGATTTCATTTATATACAGGCACTTTGTATGGTAAATCATACTCATTAGTGGGTTTAAAGCAAAACCGCCTAAATGAGATAGTGTGCTATAAGCTTCAATGGCGCCAAGGAAAGGTGAGTGAATCATAAATATTCAATACAAATTTCTTAAACGCGGTGGCATCACTGTCTTGTCAGAGTCTTTATAAAATTGTTTACAAACTGCGTAAATGTATTTAAAATTTTGCCGCAAATATACTAAAAATGTTGAAAAACAAGCTAAAACGTAAATTAATTGAGGTGCAAAATGGCAAAGAAACAATCAATGTTGAACCACAGAAACAAGTGCTGGCTACATCACCACTGTTTCCAACACCTCTTTGGCAACAATTTTTTGAAATTGAAGCAGAGCTCAATGAGCAATTACTGCCTTTTAATTCAATACCAACCATCACTCACATATACAATCCATTGGAATATGCTGCAAATATACATTGTGCTTATTTAAATAAATATTTAACTAAACCGAAACGTTTGGTGTTTGTAGGCATGAATCCTGGAGCGAATGGTATGGGACAAACAGGTGTTAGTATTCGATTTTTTAATTAAAGTAAACTACATAACTTCAATTGTATTGTTTTCAGGTACCATTTGGTAATATAAAAACTGTACGTAATGTTATGCACTTGTCTGGAGAAGTAAAACAGCCACCAAATGTACATCCAAAACGTTTAGTAACGGGAATGGCATGTACAACTGAAGAACCCAGTGGTGTACGTATATGGGGATTATTTCAAAAAATTGCTCATGGTTCGTTAGATGTATTCTCTGAACTATGCTTCATGCATAACTTTTGCCCTTTAATGTTTTTTGATCGCAATGGTAAAAACATAACGCCAAGTGAATTAAAAGTATGAATGAACTTTTATATTAATTTTATATTTATTATTAAATATTATTGTTAGGGTGATGCTAAATTGGAAATACGTCGAATTTGCTTAAATGCTTTTGATAAGGAAATGGAACTTCTAAAACCTGAAATAATTGTTGCTGTTGGTGAGTATGTACACACAAGCCTCAAAAATTCGAAACATTTTGCTACTACAAAAATCTTAAAATTGGCTCATCCAAGTCCACGATCATTGAACAATCAAAATTGGCCAGAAAAAGCTGAAAAATGGCTGATTGAAAATGATTTAATTAAGTACTTAAGAAATGAGTTATAAATATCATAATGAGTATGTCTACAGTAAAACTAAACTTAAGTTCCTTTACAAATCAGTTTTATATATTGTAAGCTAGTATTTAACATATGTTCATACCACATATTAAGCAATTATTTTTGTACATACAATAGAAACAAAACATAACACATATTAAAGAATACAATAGAATTTCATCTTTAAGATATATTTGAATATTAATTAATTGTATCATAAATAATATAATATAATAAATATGCATTTCAAAAGCATTCCATTTTGTTAAAAAAAAATTAAATAAAAGATAGAAGTTGTGCCATTTAACATTATAAAATAAAATATATACATATATTATTAAGATTATCATCAATATATTCATAATTTGTAGTATTAATAGTATTTGCTGGTCATATTACTATTACACTAGCTCTTAATATACGATCAAGTTTCAATTTAATCATTCATCATTAAAAATGTGTAAAAACCAATATTTTTTATTTTTATTATTGTATATTTTAAAAGTATTATTTTTATGGGTACTAAATTATTAGATTGCGGGAAACAAAAATTTGGGTTATAGTGAAGAAAGAGCCTTTTTATAACTAAAAATTATTTTCTACTTTTTCCAGAAAAGGGAAGCATTTTCTTCACCGAGCAAGTACTCAAAACCTGAGGCATATATAAAAATAATCTGATTGGAAACTACATGCTTTTATCTATTTGTCTATATTGGTTTTTTGTTAAAATATCAATAAACCACTATTAAAGCTTTTTAAACAAAATATTTAAACTTTTACAACAATAGATTATATAGAAATGTTTAAAACATTCTATCCAAATTTTTCATAAATACAGACTACTCCTAAGCAGCAAATCAATTGTTGCGTATTCCTTACTAAAATTGGATACATATTTGTTAATAATCAATTAAAGCTAGTACGAGTTTTTCCAATTTAATACTAGCGTTGCGCGCAAGTGTCCTTGGCGGCAGATTAATTTAGACTCTCCGAAGACTATATAAAGTTACTTATAAGTTTACTACACCATTTTTTCTTTTTTTTTTTGTATAAAAAGCAACTCAGTCATAATACAAACCTGTTACCTGTTAGATAATTATGCACATGGAAATTCCCATTTTCACTTTCTATAATAATATAACAAAAGCACTGCAGAAACTTAAATAAGGAAAGAATAATGCAATGTTAATATATATAGATTCCAGAAGTATAATTGCTATTTGTTACTGTAAAATAAAGCAATGTCACGTAAACCAACATAACAATTACCCATATAAATTTATTAGATATTCTGTATAAAAATCAAATAACATAGCAAACTAATTTATTTTACTGTGCTTAAATCAAAATCAATTTTATTACCTTATAACCCAACAAGTACAATATCAATTAATCATATTTGTTTATTAAACAAAAGTAACTTATTTCTTATTTTCTATATAATTACTTAGTTCATCCGCAGCTGCACTACTAAAACTTTTTTTGAAGCCATTTATATCAGCGGTAAATTTGTTTTTTAGCACAGTTTTGTAAATTTTTAAAAATTCCTCCAACTGCAATAAAAACGTGAAATCTTATTCAAAGATTACGTAGATATTTCGAATTAAATATACCAACCAATAAATCGCTTTCTTTACGTCCATACTGCACAAATAAACATTGTGGCGCATGTTTTGCATGTTCTTTCCAAGGGTCATCTGTAGGCTCCCAACCATCTAGTGATTTAGTACATAAAAAACAAGTGACAGTATCAGGATCGCTGCTGCTACCACTCCAATAAAAACCAGCTTCTGCCATCTAAAAACAAATATTAATAAAATATTTTTATATATTTATTACTTAATTAACATTTTTAAAACAACAATATTAAGTCCACTTTAGCTTTATTATTGAATTCCTATTTATTTTTGTTCTTTGTTTACTTTTGATACACTGCATGGAGCTTCCTCGTCAAAAGGCCATTGTTTAAAACTATCCATTCTATGTTTTTCTAACAAATGAAAATTTCGGCATTTTTCAAAAACATTCTGTTCAGTCATTATAAAAATTTATATATTCCTGATGACTTAAATATTAATATACAATAATATCTGCTGTTTAATAGCGTCGTTTTCTGCCTCTCGTTTAAATCTTTCAAATTCCGGTGCAGCTTGCTTTATTTATGAGATTTCATAGCATCCAGCTTTTGTTGTAAATTTGACAGCTGTCAAAAACCTAAAGGGTGTTTGAAATATTTTCTTTTTAATTCATTTTATTGCTTATTATTCAGTGAAATCAAATATTCATTTTATTCATATTCATATTGATATTGATATTAGATTTTGAAATAAATTTAAATAAGTCGTCACATAAATTAAAATAAGTGCAAAACTTCTAAACAACGGCAGTGTGCACAACACTTAAAAATTTTTTACTCCACTGCTCACTTGTAGTAAAAAAAGGGCGAAAAGTTAGTTGAATTTTATTAATTTGCGTTCGCATACACAGAAAAAAGTAAATCAAGTGTGTGAAAGTGAGCTAATCACTACGTTTACGCGAGTCTTAAAATCACTTTTAAAACTGATTTTAAAATTTGTTCTTAGAGCGTTTACGCACAAGAATTAAAAGCACTTTTAAGGTAACTGTCAATCAATCAGCTGTTTAACAGCAAACAGAAATTTTGATTTTAAACATTTTAAAAATGAATATGGTAAAACTACAAATTGTTTTACTTTTATTGCAAAAAAAAGATATTATAACCAAAATTGTAGAAAATAATAATAAAGCAACAATGGAGATTTTAAAAAAATCCCGTAGAACATTTACAAAATTACGAGAAATGCGATTCCAGCTCTTTAATAAAATGGCAATATGTTCCGCTAATGAGGCTTTAATCAATGTAAGTGGTTTTATTAAGTTTTTCATAAAATATTTAGAATGCATTTTTGTTTTTAGCTTTCACCACGAATTAGAACTTTTAGCAAAAGGAAGAGAAGTTCGGAGTGATGGGATGTTGAAGTTCTGCAGTTCTATGACGATGAACAATGGATTGCTGATTTTCGAATGAATCGACAAATATTTTTCAGGCTTGTAGATTTTGTTGAAGGGTTGTCTGTTGAAAAGAAAATAGCTATTGCAGTTTACAAACTTGCCTCTTGTGCTGAATACTGTGTAACTGCAAAGGGATTTGGAGTATCAAAAAGTACTGTTTGCTTATGTGTTCACAGTTTCTGTAAAGTTTTAATTGAAAATCAAGTCGGCAATATATTATCCTGGCCAAATGCATCAGAATGTGAACGCATAGCCTCGAGATTTGAACAAAAATTTAAACTGCCAAATATTACTGATGTTATAGACGGCACTCATGTGCCAATTAAACCCCCACAAGACGGTGCTGCAGACTTTCGTAACAGAAAGGGTTATAGTTCCATTGCAGTGCAAGCTATTGTGGATGATCAATATTTATTTAAAAATATCACAGCACAAAATCCTGGCTGTGCACACGATGCATCAGTGCTTAGGGGCAGTTCTCTACACAAAAACCATAATACATTAATTCCTGAAAGCCATAGGGAAATCGACGGAATTTACAACGCCTCAAATGAAGCTATGCTTTTTAAACTTCCTTATTATATTATTGGTGATGCCGCTTATCCGCTTTGTAACTGGATTATGAAAAATTATAGGGACGAGTTAACTGTTGAAGAGACATCCTTCAACTTATATTTGAATCAAGCACGAATTGTTGTGGAGCAAGCATTTGGTCGCTTGAAAGGAAGATGGAGAATACTTTATAAGAAGAGCGACCTGGATGTTTACAATATGCCGCATGTGATAATAGCGTGCGGAATTCTTCACAATTTTGTGGAGATATCTAAACAACGTTATAATTCCTCATGGGATGTAGAAAGAATCCACGGTGAAAGTGAATATCCTTAACCTGAACAGATGTACAATCGACAAAATTCGTCGTCCGGACATCTTATGCGAGATCATATATGCGCGTACTTGGCGAGAAAATTTCCACTTCTGCATAGAAGCAATTAAAAAAATAATGTAGAAAAAACCAATTTTTAATTAATTAATTTATACGTTTATTTATAACTAACAATATAATATATTAATATAATATATTTATAACAATTTAAGCTTAATAACAAATTTAAATAATTGAAAATAATAAATTTAATATTAAATTGAAATATTTTTTCAAATAGAGAATAAAAAATAAAAAGATTTTCAAATAGAGAATAAAAAATAACAATTTAATTATTTGTTTTTCTGCAAATATTTTAATTAAGCATTCTTTCTCCTCTTTCATCCAATTTTTTCTTTTTATTTTCCTTTTCTCCATATTTTTAGTTAGTGTTATTTGTAATAAAATTCAAATTATTTGCACCTATTCACTGTTAACAGCTGACAATTCAAACCTTAAACTGCTTTTAAGGTGTTTACGCAAAGCGTAAAAGTGACATTTCTTACTAAAAGTGATGTTAAACTACTTTTAGTAAGCTAAAAGTGCTTTTAAGCAAAATTCAATTTAGGGTGTTTACGCGATCTTAAAATCGATTTTAAGAGCCTTAAAACAACTTTTAAGGCTCGCGTAAACGTAATGAATGTTTTATACAGTTGTCCAAAACTTAACTAAATTTTATTTATTTCAATATAAGCAAGTAAAATAATGTAATAATAAAGCTGAAAAATAATTGACACTTGCTTTTAATATGGTGTATTAAAAAAATTTATATATAAACTTATTTAAGAAAAACAATTACCAAACTAATTCAATTATTAATTTTTGTAAAATTAGTGTACCAAAAAAATTGTAAAACGTATAATTTAGATTCTATTTACTTACTATTGCGAAATAAATTTCAAGTAACGTAATATATCTAAAAAAGTTCTTTGGAAGCGAGTTTTGGTAATCATAGAATCCAACATTTAACTAATTTAGCATTTAACAATGTTTTACAACAATAAAACCATTTTTATTTGAAATATGAATTAAAAAACATTTTCTTATATACTTATTAAAGTAATGAGAAGCAGTTTAGAAAAACCGTATGTGTGTATGATTGAAACGTTATAAAATTATTTTTAAAAGAATAAAAATTTACTTCTAATAAACAGTCTAATTTACATTATACCTCTAACATATAGATGCTGAATTGCGAAATTATTTTTTTAAGTTATCTTTAAAAATATTGTATTTAAAATAAAACCTGATACTCAAACACTAGTTCAATATCTTAAGGTAATTTGTATACTGATTTCGATATATTTGACATTAAATTTTTGTCATTGCATGTATTTAAAAAATTTTCTTCTACAAACTTATTTATCATTAACTCAAAATCTTCTCTTCATATAAACGGATGAGCAGCTTAGCAAAATAGACTGATCCTTGTCTCGCAAATTAAGAACAAATTAGAATGACACGTCAACATATCCACAATGGGAAATAAATTATATAATAATGTTAAAATATAAGTAGTTAATTAAATATAGTAAATAATGTTATTAATGATATCGAAAACAACAAACGCGCTTTCCTATATACCCTAATATGCTCAGAAGGGACCACAAGGTTTTTATACTTGGTAATTCAATATATGAAACAACAAAACGACTTGGAAAATCATGTTTTCTAAGAGTAGATCATAAATCTCAGTTTTACATCAACATCCTGACTGTATTAAGTATAGTCAATCAAATTACTATAAGTTTAAAGTCGGTTTTTGTTTTTTAATATTTTAACTTTTATTTCGTATGTTGTATTTTGTGTATCTCTACACGTATTTCGGCAAATTATACATAGCCCTTTCGCCTTTGAGTATAGTTGTGGCCTGATGTTTGTGTATTTCGATGCTCTCTGCCGTTTCTAATTTCCAGCTATCTCTTATGTTTTTGATTATTTGGGCGTTACCCCTGTCGATGTGGCGATTTTCATTGATATTAATTGATTTTATAAGTCTATATATAATTGTTAAGCAACAAGTGCTAGTCTCAAAACTATTAAACTGTCAAATTTAATCCAAATGACTAATGCGTTTAATAACCTAACGACCGTACGCTGTGCGACAAGTTAATATTACTTATTTCTAATATCACATATAGTATGATAAATAATATTACTTGAAATTGTTAAAATTATCAGAATCGAACGTGGAATTGCAATTTTCTATAAATTTTGGTCATAATAGGTCTGTTCCACGAGCTACTCGTAGTAAAACTCAAATAAAACACAAGTAAAATACAAACTGAGAGCGTAACACAAATAAAATGCCAAATTACGCTCCTAACACAGATTTTTATGAAACAGCTTTGTGTAAAATTTGGTGAGAACACCAGTGCCACGCAAATAAACAATACAAAAATTTAAATTCAAACCAAATCACACATAAACACAAATTTTACTTGACATAAAATATACGAGTAAAGTCTGTGCAGCATTTTTAAATTCCGACAGGGATATTACGTTCTCAAATGATCTCATTTACTCGAAAACGAGAACGCAATTATGTATACACAGTGTTACTCAAAGTTACCACTAGTAGCTAGTGGAACAGACTTAATATATAATACCTATCTACAATAATTACACAGAAACGAATTATTCATGAAAGTTTAATGATGTTGAATTAATGAATTCAATCCGAAAACTTCTCTTATTTATGTAATTTTCTTTAGATGCCTTTACCATATTACATATAATTGAAGAAAATTAATACCCCTTTTTAAAATATGTTTTTAACGGGTATTTTTATAATTTCGTATAAACGTATTACCGAGTTTTGTTTTTGTGAAACTTTAATTTCTCATAATATGAACACTTTTTTAAAAATTTTTCCAAGACGTAAAAATGAATTTATTGTCACTCGCCTTCTGTGTTCCATTCTCATATCATTTCAATAAATTGAAGTTTCGTTGCTCTGTGTATATTTTTCTTGATAAATTAGAATATGTGTTTTATCTGTAAAATGTTTAAATTTTAAATTAAAATAGGAATAAAAATAGAATAATAAAAATTTATATGTAAAAAGTTCGCAAAATTGAATTTGCAATTCAATTAATTTCGCAAAATTAACGTTAATGCAGTAAAAAAATTTTGTATGTATTTACACATTCATTTGTTAATAACAGTGCTATTTTTAATCTATGTATGTACATTTGGTTTGTATTACAGTGTAAAAAATTGTGTACGGTACATGGAAGCGAGGGAAATCGTCGAATAAGAAAAAAATCATAGCACTTGTGTAATCTCAATCCCACCAACGACAAGAAGTTGAAAAATAGCACTTATATATTTTTTTGTTTTGTTTTAAGTGCGTATGAAAATTGAGCACCTGCTGACGTGCTCTATATTCGGTATTTTAATAGTCGCGCAAGTGCGCTGAGAAATAAACAAAACCAAGACGTCGGCCAATCGACTAACCAGACATCAGCGCAGACTACTTGCGATGTGTAATTCCATCAACGCAGATAGTGAACTCGGAATGCGCGATAATGTCTGTATGCTTGCACTAGGTGCACCGAGTTTGCAAAAAAGAATCTCCAAACTGAATTACGATCTTATTGAGGAATGCAAAACCTGCACTGAAGACTCCATTTTATCGAAAACTTTACGGCAAAAATTGGAACTGTAAGTTCATATGCAAAATATCCTCCATTTTAAATTTCTATGATTTTCTATGAATTTAGGTTAATTCAATTCAAACTTAAAATTTTATTTAATATTCATTTAATATTAACATTACATATATAATTTAGGCATTTTTATTAATATGCGGCGTCAATGAACTTGGCAATTTATCAGCTGTGGTTTTTTTTTTCGTTTAAATAATTTTGAACTTTGTACATTTACTGCAGACTTCCTTGTTGCATTTTGTTGCTGTGTTAATTATTTGCATACATAGATTACATATAATATGTATATATTATATATAATATTTAAATTATACATGAATTTGCTTACGTATTATAAAATGAATGCAATAAATTAGTTCCAAAAATAATTTTAATCGCACAGTTTTCCCTACATCTATTTACGTTTCTTTTTCATTGGTGGGGGGTTGCACAAATCAATATTTAAATAAATTAGCTTTTAATTATGTAGAATGGCATTGTTAATTTACTTTCGTTTCGATATTATGCTTAAGATCTACATTATTGGCTGTTTTCGCATAGAAAATATTGTATAATGTGGTTAGAAATAAAATCTAAAATAAAAGATAATCTATATGGGTTATCTAGTACTATCTGGATACTTAGATATGGGTTATCTAATCCATAACTATATGATTATCATTAATCTTGATCTTGTGCCAAGAATCCCACGCGCTAATTAAATTCAAAAATAAGAGTTCTAAAAAGTATAGAGATATAAAAAACTGTAAATAATAATGGACCCATAACCAATTATTAATGTAGCTACAAGCCCATGTCTTCGGTATATTGCTGAAATATACGAACAAAATTCACATAATAAATAAAATCAAATTCAGTAAATTTATATATCTACATTCTGAGTGTATCAACACCATCACAGGCATTCCATCCTCTGCGCTCTTGCAAACGGATCAACCACTGTACTACACACAGTAACCCCCTACCGGTATCGATAAATACCAGACATCAGTGGCGACTAACCACTGGAACATCTTATATGTAAGTGTAACAAATGACAGAAACCTACCAAATATATATTATTATAATGTTGAGGCTAGTTGAGTCAGTGCACTTGAGCACTTTTACTCTTTACTAACTGTGAGGTTTCTTCATAACCACCCTCTACACCTTGATTATTGTTTATCACTTCATGAGACTAAGCAATAACTGATCTCAGATCTACATACATCCCCGAGGAGCCTGTAACCATTCTTAGATTTGATAATGTGGTGTTGGTAAATCTGTCAGTTTTCAGAAATAGTTTCGTATACCTATATCCTGATCGACAGGCCTGTAGAAAGAAAATTACGACGTAAGAAGTATGTTGGAGACCACGGTTGTCTGTAACAAAGTTGTCAATACACCCCGGGCTAACTACTTCTCCGTGCAGTAACAACTGTTCTAGCTCAGATTACGATATCGCACACAACCCTGGATTAAGGCGGAAAAACCTGCCCACTTCTATGAGGTGTCTGTTCAGTGGTTCTACTTCTAAATTTGAATTTGTTTCGTAGCCCTTCTTTAGTTTTTGAATCCTAAATATTCATGTTATTCTTTTTAACTTACCTGCTGAGTCTCTGACAGAAGTGTTGACCAACATCTGTTGTTTCGGGGCATTGGCGTACTGGAAGCTATTTGAAACAGATATAATTATTTTGCTTTTTTTACCATCCATAACACTATATGTGACAAATAATTTTATACTTTTTTATATAAAAACCAATACTCTAATAATTTATTTTCATATAATCTCATAGTCATAGCCGCCAAACACGTCGTGAGATAGTTAAAAAAGTGCGTAATGGCTGTGCACCACTTTTCATCGCTTGTAAACGTGGGTGCGTTCCTATAGCAGAGTATTTGATAACGGTTTGTGAAGCAGACATAGAACAGCGCGGTCTATACGAAGTACCGGCAGATCGTACATATCATTTCGTAACACCACTCTGGTGTGCTGTAGTGTCTGGACAATTGCCAATAGTTAAATACTTAATACGCGTAGGATGTGATATAAATGCAACATCAGATTCGGGTTCAACACCAGTAAGAAGCGCTTGTTTTATGACCCATGTTGAAATTGGTAAGCTTTTACATTTTTGTATAAACTCTTTATATTCTTATATTTGATTATTTTTATTGCAGTACACTATTTAGTAGAGAACGGTGCCGATATCAAAAAACCAAATAGTAATGGTGGCACTTGTTTAATAAATTCTGTCCAGTCAACTGAACTATGTTTGTATTTAATTCAAAAGGGCGCCGATGTAAATGCGAAAGATGTACAAGAAAAGACTGCACTTCACTATGCCATACAAGAACACAGGTAAGTTTTAGAATAAAGATATAAGCTTGAAGAGGAAATGAGTCATGGGTTCCAGAGCAACAAAATGTGTTCAATATATAATTTACTAAAAAATGATTACATAGAGGGTTTTCAGAAATTTTCAACCGTCACAGCTCTTTTATTCACCATTTTATCATTTTCATGTTATCTGCTTATTTATAGCATTTTTGTTGTACGTTTATTTGTCAGTTTATTTTCGACTTTTCTTCTTGTTTTTCATATTTTAGTACTGTCAAGTAGTACTTCTTATATAATAACGTAAGTCATGCCTTCATTGCTGTGTAAATGAAACGAATACGTTATGAACTCAATTAAGTATTATTCCAGTTGAATAAGGTTTGTCAGTAAATAACTCCGGGATGTAGCCCCAACCATATCTCAACTAACTCACACACCAATTTGAGCACTATTGATTTAAGTTTTCGTTTTATCGAAATGACAGTAATCCTTAACCTTGGCTTAAGCTAGTCACAACTAGCACTCACCTTACCAACACATTTCCGCTCATTCTACGCAACACCCTCCCTTCGCCTGTTGTTGTTGTAGCTCGCCGAGATCTGAAAAACAAGAAGGATCACAAGACGAATACATGTATTGCGATGTGGATGGGTGGTATTTAGGGTAAGGGTATGGGAAGAGGGAGGAGGGAAGAACGGCCGTGTCTACGTCCCGGGGCCACTCGTCGAAGACGATCAAGTGCCGTTCAACATCCCCTTAAAGGGCTACATACAAGCAGGTATGTGTTCATTTGACATATGTCGTGTATATGTGTTTTTCCCTCCCTTCACCTACCTGCCGATACCCTATATCAGCACATATATTCTTCTTGTAATTCATCCATGTTTCCTGGTCTTAAGATTTCTTCAAATTACTACAATACCAATTATAAGTAAGGTAATTCAACAGTTTCAATGTATAATTTAATTACGTTAGTATATCCGTTAATCAGTCCAACTGGTTTCCACCCATTCCCAAGCCTTTGGGATTCCCATTCCCATCTCACACAACTAATAGCCATCCACATCCTAACCCATGTATTCGTCTTAAAATTCCTTCACAGATCCCTGCAGATCTGTTAACAACAAGATATCCTTGCGAATATCTCACATTTTTATAATGCCATATCATTGAAAGTAAGCTCAGCTTATGATATTTTTGAGATTAAATATCACACAATAAAATTCGATTGGGAAGTAAAGCAATGCGCTTCATTAGTGCATCATGTGATGTGCATCAAATGGTGCAAATTATTTTATAATTTTTTATATCTATTGTACTTATTTTAATAAAAATTAAGAAAACTGGGTTTTTAAGATGATTGCTCAATTTCAAATTAAATAGGAAATAATGTCAATATAAATTACAACAGATCACAACTATCTATATCTTAAATATATTACGTTAACTGAAGTAATGTTCTTGTTTTGCTACTTATTTTTGTAGACTGGAAACAACAAAACTTTTACTAGAACATGGTGCCAATCCATATGCCAAAAGTCGCTACGGTGACGATGCATTGAGAACAGCATGCTTAAAAGGCGCTCATCAAATCTTTGACTATTTAAAAACTCATTTAACTTATTCCGCTGAACGACTTGCTGAATCTCACGAATTAATTGGTATAATTTTATATTTTATATTTTTGGATGTAGAAAATTATATTAACACTTATTAATTGATAGGTTCGACATTTTTAGACGAACACAATGAAAGTCGTGTCGCAATCTTGCATTGGCGTTTAGCACATCATATACGTGCGTCACATTCTCCCTACATAGGTAATGGAGTTTTTAAAGTTGAGACCAGTTTTTCATAATTTCATAATTTATTTAATGAATTTTTATTTTGCAGAAAAACGACCAAAAGTTCCCTTACGCCATGCTTACAACAATGCAGTTGAGTTCACAACGTTGGAAGAGCTTGATAACATACACGCTGATATGGATGCAATGCGTATACAAAGTTTATTGATTTGTGAACGCATACTTGGAACAGCTCATAAAGATATGCTATTCCGTTTAACTTTTCGTGGTGCATCCTATGCAGACTCACTGCAACTGCAGCGTTGTATCGATTTGTGGCGTTTACTATTGGAAATACGGGTTGAACATTCCTCTATATTGCATTTTGATACGTGCTTTGCTGCACAGGCGCTAGTACGCTTGATGCTTGATTTATACGATCGTGCAAGTCGAAATAATAACTCGAATAATCAACCAACATCTGCGCAAAGTAGGCGAAACAATGAACCGGATTTTATCGAAAAAGAATCATTGCCATTATTTAATGATATACATGCTGTGTTTAAGCTTTTAACTGGCCCAATAAATGAAGCGCATGATCTTTTACAAATTCGTCCAGTTTTCAGGAAGCAGCAAGAAAATTTTGATCGTATGCTAAAGTGTATAGCCCATTTGATATATTTGCTCAATTCTACAGCACGTACGGAGGAACAAAAGAAATTCCAATTTTGTGCTGTGCGTGATTTGGTGAAATTAAACGTTCGTAGTGCTTGTACAAGTGATACGTTACTGCATCTATGTGTATCTCGTTTAAATGTTATTAAAAGCGGTTACTTAAGTGATGAAAACAATGCATCGGTAAAGAATTAATTTTCTTAAATAATATATATAAATATTGAATTGGATTTAAAAATATATTTTCTAATTGCAGATTGTATTTCCCAATTCTGAAGTAATAAAACTTTTACTTGACTGCGGCATGGATGTCAATGCCAAAAATGAGGCAAAATCAACACCGTTACATGTCGCTGCACAGCCATATAATTTTAACAACGATGTAAGCACATTATTTTTTTATTTGAAAATAATTAATGCGGTTATATACGTTTTAGTTTTGTATAAAAATTTAAGGAGTTTTTAAATACAATAATAATTTATATTTAATATTAAAAATGATGCTTTTTTATAAAGAGAAATATAACTCACATTATTCAAAAATGTTTCTTTCGTCATAATATGTTTTATGTTTTTTTATATTTTTAATTATAATAATATTTATAATTAATTTTAAAAAATAATCGTCTTTTAATCACGAACAGTAGTTTATTACTGTTTAAACCATTCTATTTAATAATGGTTGCTTTCGTTATATTTGCTATAAAAAATAAATTAAAATTTTTTTATTTTTTTATTTTTAATTATAATAATTTTTTTATGACGAAAACAATTTAATTTTTTATGACGAAAACAAAAAAAAATAATTCACAGTAATTTATTACTGTTCAAACCCTTCTACTTAATTATAGTGTTTTTCGTCATATTTGCATTAAAAAGTAATTTTGATTTTTTTTTTTAATTATGATAGAAGAATAAGAGTTATTTACAAAAAAATATAATTCGCAATAATTTATTACTGTGCAAAACATTCTATTTAAAAATATTTTTTTTGTCATAATTGACTTTAAAAATAAATTTAAATTTTTTCACATTCTATTTAAAAATATTTTTTTGTCATAATTGACTTTAAAAATAAATTTAAATTTTTTCACATTTTCAAGCATAATAATACTTTTAATTTACATTCAAAAAAAAAATATATTTATTACTGTTAAAACCGTTCTATTTAAATATAGTTTCTTTCGTCACATTTCGTCATAGTTTTCATGTAAAAATTTCTAATTTTGAAGTCAAATATCTGAAAAATAAATTACGTAGCATATAATGTCGTTGAAAAATTGTTCACATAAATTATTATTAGTTAATTCAGTTATATATAGCTGTGATTTATGCGTTCATTCTAATAAAGAATTGACAAAACTCGATGTTAGAATATCTGAAGTTAAGTAAAGGTATTAAGTCAGTTATCTAAAAAGTGACTGCGGTTCAAATTTAAAAGGACAGAGTTAAATACTTTTTGTCATACTTTAAAAATAAATTTAATTATAACTCGTTATTATTTATAAAATATTTCAAATAAAATATTTTTATTTAACAATATTTTGTTCTAGATTATTTTGCTGTTGTTGGATAATGGAGCTGATTTAGACCAACCAAACAAATCAGATGAACGTCCTTTCAATCTAATAGCTAGCAATCCCACCAACACCGTACACCTGTTAAATTATGTTACACTTAAGTGTCTAGCAGCCACAGTTCTGAGTAAATATAAGATTCCATATAAGAATGAAATACCAAAAGTTCTAGAAGCTTTTGTTGAACAGCACGAACCCTAAACGTTGTAGAAAAATTTTATGCGAAATTATTGTTCAAAAGATATCAGTATGTAACTAAAAAAAAACTCATATATAAATTATAACTAAAAAAATAGTAAAAAATATAAAAAAAAATATATAAAAAAAAGTGATAATAAAAAGTGCTGTAGTATTGTGTATTCTTATATCTGTAGTATTTTTCTCATTGCAAAGAGAAACGTTAACTACAGTCTATAAAGTAAAATTATTATTATTAAGTTCTTTGATCATGTAAAAGTGTCTATTAATATTGTAGCATATAATTACATGGATAATTATGGAATTTTGCGTAAATAATATACAAAATAATAAAATTTCTAAAAATAATACTTTGATTAAAGTTGAGAAAGATTTCATGATTTCATTATTAGTAACATTTCCATACATATTTTTTTTATATTACTTCACGTAAACATTAAAGAAATCTTTCTTAGTGACTTTTTAATTTCAGACTAATATTTTAATAGTATTTCTATATATTTTGCTTAGACGTTGGCAATGATAACGATTTCTACTCTCAAAGACAGTTCAGTGCCAAATAAGTAATTGTGTTCTCATACATAAAGTTGTCAGAATTTTTTAATAAAATTTAATATAAACTTGCAATAAAATATTTGTGCAATAATATAACATATCGCATATATAAAAATGATTTAAAATATTAATAGACACTTATATATTAAGACAACAAAAGTAGGAATAAATGCGTATGCAAACAAATTGATATTAATTGCAATACTTAATTAGTTTTAAATCAAGGTTAATGATATAGTCTAAATTAAAATGTGTTAATATTGCTTGTTGTCTTTAGAAAGGAATTACTTAAATTTATACATAAAAATGATCAATTTTGTAACATTGAACTTAAATTATACTAAGCAAAAATTGCTAATAATCATCGAGATAAAATATTTTATTTACAATAAGTCTAACGCCAATCTCATTATACATATATATAATAAATATATAGATCTATGAGTTCTCACATTATTAAAAATATATATATTATATATATATTAAAGATATTGTAATACTACTATAATTATAACTATTAATAATCATTTATATAGACTTACTAACCATATATGTAAATTTAAATATACAATTGCTTATATACAAACTCACTGTCATTATAAAAGCTTATACATAATTATGCTACACATACGCAATTATTCACAAACATTGTATAGATATTTTATTGCAATTCTAAACTGAAATTAAATTTTTTGAATGGAAACTAATGCAAAACTATTTTTATTTACATAAAACAATTTATTTTATTTTGAAAAAAATGTATACATTGTGACGTTGACGTTTAAATTATTAGTATGAGTAATTTATTTGGACATGTATGACTTCAGTCGTTTACGATATATACTTAGAAATATATTGCTAATTACACTTAAATAAACTACAGGCAGGAATTTATGTTATAATCACACGATTAGGAGCTAATCCATAAATTGCAAATAGCATTAATGCAGTATATGTCACAATATGCATATAATAGTTACTTGCTAATTTGAAGACTCTACTGTTACCACTATTACGCAGATTAGTGTAACTGTCGACAATATGTATTTTCCAACCCATATTTGCATGGGTGAAGCTATTATAGTATACTGTATCCGGCCATGTTATGTTCGGAGTAATTTCTAGTAAAGCAGGATCTTCACTGCTACAAACAGAAATCAAGGAACGATTGAATTTTTTAAAACTTGGAAAATTATCATCTAAGCGACGATCGTAATTGAGTGGATACTTCGACAAACATAGTGGTCCAGCTGCTGTCGGCTTTGGACGACCTCTACGCGTAAATTCAACGCCAGCTAAAACTCGTATCTCACTTTGTTTTGCATCACTAAGTCGATCATAACCACCGTGTGGTTCGTCTGTTATTATCAATGGTTGATAATGTTCTGGAGAATGTGGATTATTGCCACCCTTTACCTGTAAATAATTAAATAATAAATTAAAATTATCAAGATAAATTATAAAGTTTTAGTTAATATTTACTTTAAAGAAATATGTTAAGCCACGTTTTAAATATAATTCTGGTATCATATAGCCATTTATATACCAAGCTAAACCGCTGGAAACATGACCTGCAAATTATCAGAAACATAAATAAATTGTTAGAGATTTAAAACATAAATAAATAATTTAACATGTAAGTCAGATTAATAATAATTATAATAAGATAAGATAATAATAATAATGCTTTTTTTTTAATTTTTTCAGATGGAAAGCCAAAATTAATACATGTTTAAAATAGTGGGAGGGCTTTAATTCTGATGGTTTCGCTCAGGAACTCATCAATTTATTACATGAACTGTTTGCTTAGTGTAAAGGAGTGAACTTTTTGTATAATACAATTTATTGATTGAAAGAAAACTTAACATATAACACTAGTTTATGACATTAAGTAAATTTCTCAGCAGTTGACAAAATTATTCCAAATTGCCAGGTTGTGAGACCACATAATTCTAATAGGATTTTAATGTTTTTATTCATTTACTCGTATTTAGCGCTGCATAGAAATAAATCAGTTGTTTGATGGACATATCTTGCTTCTCATCACCGCAGCTGCTGGAGTAGTCATTGGACTTAATACCTATTCTAAAAGCGTGTTGACATATGCCACTGATGACATCTATATGTATAGAGATTTTATTTCTTCACATTGAGGGAAGTCTCTGTGATTTTTTTTTCCATTTTGTCCAAATGAGATTTGTTTATTAACATATTGTTTCTCGATTCCATCGTTCAAAAACTTTGTTTAGAAACGTATATCTGATTACGAGTTACAGGATTTCTTCTGAAAGAAAGTGGGAGATGGTTTCTTTTTTAAATTTCCGCGATAAATTCAGTTTATACATTAGATCGTGTCTATTCAAAGAGAAGCAAAATCAGTAGATCGAGAATAACCAATATAGTGCACATATTTGAGCTCAGATTAAGACTAGTTTGTATTTATTTATCTTATTCCTTTTAAGTCTCCTACGTACAATAAAAATTATACTGAAATCAAGAAAGATTCAGATGAGTTCTAGTGCAAAAGAATTGCTCAAAGAAACTTTTATCTCAAAGGTGTTTGGGACACACCTACTCTACTTTTTAGAGCATCACCCATTTGTTTGTCAGTCGTGTTGTACACAGAAATTTGAGCTTAAATTGATTTGCTACTAGGTTACATCAAATTGGCATGGTCTTTTTACCTTGCCCCAAGTTCTTTTCACTAACACTCCCATTTTATATGCTGTATATACAAATTTGATCTCTATACAATTCCACCGACTCTTCATAAATCTTTATTTTAATTATAATTTTTACTTAGTAATCCATCCATATTTCTTCTTCTTATGTTGCCAGTTTGGATTACCACAACAACTGTGTAACTTAAAGATCAAATTAAAAACTTTAACACATTTCACATTTTAAGATTCATGTATCATTATCTCTATGTATATATTAAAGATTAATAAACCCGGCCATATTACCAAAAAATTACAAAATGGGGTATTAAGTAGGTTATTATACTTTTATAAATTATATATCATATATATTAAATGATTTCTCTCTATTACTAACCAGTAAGACCTTGATAACCTCGCAAAGCACCGGAAGGTCCCAAATATGCATTAAAAGTACGAATCGTGCTAAAAATAGATTGCGTTTCTGAATTAACATTGAATATAAATTAAATATAAAATAAACATACGGATCTTGTATTCGCACTTTCTCCCACACTTGTACTGGACTATCCGCCCGTTTTGTAAAACTAAAGCAATCGTTAACCGGTTCAGTTGTATTAAAATCAATTAATATATCACTCTTTGGATAAATGTTATGATAAGCTGGTTCATTATTAGAATCCAACTGTCCAAGAGCCCACACAACGTAATTGCTTTTATCAAGGCGTATTTCCTTATCTCCAGAATCAGCTATAAAGCAGTTTAGTTACATTATGATTTAATATATGAAAGAAAATATATAAACTTACATGAAATCAAAGTTCTACGGAAAGTGATTGTATTGATTCCATCTTTACGACTGTAAGTATTTAATTGAAAACTATCCAAACCACCAACAACGTCATCCCGACATACGCCTTTGTTTTGTCCCAGAACTTGTACGCACTTAAAAGAAGAAAATGTCATTAATATAAATTAAATAAATATATATTTTTTTATGTAACTCACAGGTGCTAAAGAGGTTATATTATAATCCACCGAATAACCACGTATATCATCAATATATGCCACAACTACATCAGCGCCTATCATTTGACTAGAGCTCTCCGAACCAGATATACCAAACGACATATAATCATTTTTCTCTACCTGCCCTGATAGTTGTAACGTAATTTGTGGTCCAAAAACTTCCCACGAAACTTGAAGATTTTTATGTAATTGTCGACAATTTGGCAGCGAAAATTCATAAGGTGTTATTTTGACCAAAGAAGGTGGTACATTCAAATTATCTGTTATCAGTACATGACCATAGTTTTCATTGTCAGCTAAATCATAAATGCTTATCCAGTCTATGTCAAATATAGTTTTGTCACCAGGCAATTCAATTGTTATAGTTTCTTTAATATATTTCCGTATAGGATCCAAACTATTAATGAATAAAAAAATTATATATATTAAACCATATCAATATAGTAGTTATGTGATCACTTACTAGCCCATTTCATCTGGTATTTTACTACCACGACTTGATGGCTGTGCGCCTACTCCCGCCCAAAAAAATGTACGCTTACCCAAACCATCATAGTTAAAGTCTTTGATACGTATTGTTTTAGAATCTAATATCTCAATACCACTGCTACTAACATTATGACTACGGCGTGATAATGTACCACCATCTTGAGAACGTGGTGGTTCAAATTCTTCTGGTATATAGACATCACCAAAATTATTTTGAGTATTAAGATCGTAAATTGCAAGCCATTTAATTTCAGTAATTTTTTTACGATCTG